AAGCTTCCATACCTCACTTAGAAACTATCCAAGACCTTGCTACACAATTGTAACTTCATTTACACCATCCTCTATTTCCAAAAACTCACACCTGTAACTTGACTTCTCTAGAAAGTTTCAGGCACTTTCAGCTCAAAGTAAGCATTGCAATAACTTCCTAGGAGTTAAGTGAAGCTATCCAGATCATCACAACACCTCTAGAAGTGCTCAAACTCCAAACACGATTTCCATTTTTGAGGTAAGTTTTCTCAACTTTGAACTCTTTATACAAGCATCATTAATGATTACTTTGTGAATGAAAAATATAGACATCATAGCTCTGAAGCTAACCATGTGTTTTAATTTATGTTCAGTTGTGAATTTTGAGTTTGAACTTTATAAAAAAATTAGGTTTTAATTTGGTACCAACAAAATTCTCATTCATCTTTGATTTATAGCTTATGAAATTTATATGATTGAATTCGTGTTGAAAAATGGAACAACTTTCATGTTTACATTTTTGAAAATGGTTGAGAAATGAGCAAGTTTGAAAATTCAAAAATGTGACAATGGTGACTGGCGCGAGGTTAGGGATGAAGTCATATTCAGAAACCAATTTATTTTATATTTAGTTAAAGTTGTATTATTAATGGATGAAATAATCACTCCGGTGGCAGAGAAGCGCGCGCTAAGGCATTGATCTATAGGAACCTGGGTTCGAGCCTCAGTGGTACCCTTTTAGTTTTTTCATATTATTTCCTTGCAGATTCAATACAAGCCAAGCATGTATCATGAGCCTCTCATCCACACCATCATATCTTCCAGGAAATCAAATCAAACGGATTCAGACGCATGACCATGATGCACCTCAGAAGACCATCCCCACATGATCAACAGGCACTAAACTTTTCATTCTGGGCCTTGACTGATTTTCTTTCATACACCCCCCCATTTTCTATATCATGCGCAGACCCACATCTATTTTTTTTTCTTTTCTGATTTCAAACAAAAACCTTATTGGGCCTGACAAAAATGGTTTTTAACCCTCTTTTTACTTTTTGACACCCAAACCCAATTATTTTTTATACCTTTTATATTTTATTTCTTTATTTATTTTTTAAGATAAAAAATACAAAAATATATTTTCTTAAATTAAAAATATTTTAATTTAAATACTTTATTTCCTCTTTTAATTAAATTAGATTTTTTTACTCTTTTTTACATGATAAAAAAACATTTTCTTTCCAAATTAACATTAACATTCAAATTATTTTCTAAACAAATTATTTAGACTTATGTTTTATTTTCTCTTTAATTTCACTTAGTTTATATTTTTAGGTTTTGTTAAATAATTAATTAACTTCTCTTGTAATTAAAATTAATTATTTTAATTAGGTTAATTATCAAACATTTTCCATCAAAAATCACCAAAACAATTTCTCTCCTCTACTTTACCTTTTTGTGCATTTTATTACTTCGCATTATCATTTATGTACATAGTCTGTAATAGATAATTAGGTTTATTGCTTTCCTCCCCTCTTTCACAAACTTGTACCCCCATCTCCAAAGCGTTGTAATAGCGTAGGACATTTAAATTCCATAGTTTATCGCTTTCCTTATTATTGTTAGTAATTAGGGCTTATATGACAAGATTTAAAATCAAACATTAGAAAACCCTAATTCAAGATAAAATAATTGAAACAAAACACCTTGCACACATGCACCTCTAGGGTAACCTACACTTGTTGCCTCAGATATAAACAATCATGTCCCTCGAACGTAGGATGTTTTAGCAAAAACCTTTGATTAAAAGATCGTAGTCCCTCGACGATCCTTCAATGTTGCCTTCGGTAAACGATCTTAGTCCCTTATGACAATTTATAAAACATCTTACAAGTTGTCTTCTATGACTGTACGATGACCCACGCCTGTCCCTCACATCCAATGATATGGTTTCCTACTAAACTAATGGTAGACAAGCACTATCTAAAGGAGAAGGGAAAGAACAAAGACTTTTTGAGTAAGTAGATTGCTCGTAATTGCTCGCTCACAAACAAAACCATCTCCACGCTTCACACTTTCAAAACACTTTTCAAACAAACATTTTATATACATTCTCAACGATACGAGAATCATTATAAAATGGCCTTACACTGGCATCTTCAAAAACATCTTTCCAAACATTCATTTTCAAACAAATATTTTCAAAACCAACACTTTGAATACATTCTCAACGATACGAGAATCATTGCAAAGTTTTCCGCACGAAGGCGTTTTCAAAATATCTTCAAACATTTCCAAACATACACAAAATACAAAGCATTTCAAAGTGATCAAGCAATTAAGAGCCTATAGATAACTACGGATGAAAAGAGTGCTAACACCTTCCCTTTTCATAACCTACCCCCCGAACTCAAGAAAATATCTCAAAAGGTCTTTCCTGTTCTTTTCACCATTTCCTTTATTAGATAAAAGAAAAGTCAGTGGCGACTCTTGCTATCCGCAAAATTTGCGATAAAACACAAAACACCCAAGTCAGTTCTCCCACCGTATTACATATATGTTATTGGTTGATCCTGTTTTATTTGGTTTTGTTGGGAACTGTTTTGAAGGATGTTCTCTTGAGGGGAAGTTTTGATTCCATGTGACAAGGAGAGTATTGTGACAGGGGGAGCATGGTGATGGTGTGCTAAAAGTTTATTTCTCTCTTATGTGTTGCTGTGATGCTACTTTGTGATGTCAAATAGAATGTCATGACATCTGGTCTCTGGCGGTATTCGGGAGTGTGAGAGTTTAATTCTCACTATATAGTTGTGTGTGAGGCTGGGCCTTTCTTTTAGTTATGTTTGTTGCGTGTGTCTATGATTGTTTATTTTTTGCTGATTTTTAAAGTATACGTGCTTGCTGCGTGTGCCTCTGATTGTTTATTGTTTGCTAATTTTTTCAAGAATGCATGACGTTCATGTATCTTGTGTTTTATAGTTATTTTGCTGTTTTTTTTCCTGATCTCCAGTTATATCATGCAAAGGTTGTTTTAACCAAAATTTTCCTAAGGGGAAGATTGTTAAGTCTGTGGTTTTATGAGTGGCAAGAATTTTGTTAAAACATGTTTATCTGCAAGATGTTGTGACAAATGTCGTAACATGTTATACCAGAACATCAATGCAGTTTTAGGTTTTACTTCTTGGAAGATTTGATTTTAAAATATGAGATTTTGTTTGGTTTTAGTTCTCATATTGTCGCAACCAATGGAAGATATTTTAGGAACATTGATTCTATAGCAGAATTGCTTTTGTTTCAAAAAAAGGATCTTGGTGACTTTTTAGAAAATTTTATATTTTTGTTCCTATTTTTGTGGAGAAAATTTTGTAGAAGATTTGCAGCTGAAATATTGGATATGCATGAAGAGTCCAAGCCCATGCTTGCAAGAGTCTTTATATAAGGATTCTCTAAACCTAAAACACTTGGAGAAGCCGAGTGGATGAGATAAAGGTTTAGAGTTTTTAGTTTGTTCTTTGTTCATTGTGATCCACTCTCTTATCACTTTGATATTAGAGTTGGACTAAGTTTAAGTTGTAATTTGTCAATCAATCACATATTTTTAAGCAAGAGTGGATTGTGTGTCAAGTTATCTTTGTTCATCAACCATAAGCTTTTAAGCAGAGCTAGTTGTTTATATTTGAAGATGCTCTTCTACTTTAGTTATCATTGTTAGTTTATTACTCGTGTGTGATTGAAGAGAAGTGAGAGGGGTCTCATATCTAAAAGTGTCTTAGATAGAAATTGCATGAGTAGTGATTAGATAAGAAGTTTGTAAACCTGAAGTTATTTAAAGCTTCAAACTAATACTATTATAGTGAATTTTCTCCTTGGCTTTGGAAGCCTCCAGATATAGGTGACGTTGCACCGAACTAAGTTAACAATTACTTGTGTTATTTACTTTCAGCAATTTATTTTACTTGCATAATTATTATTTTTGTTGTAACTGATTTGATATCAGTGTTGTAACATTTAGTTCGACATTTGATATCTATATGTCAGAATTTCAAATTGTTTTAATAAACTTTCATCTAAAGTTTATGAAGATAAATTGTTTCTTAAAGTTTATTTAACCAGACTCAAAAGAGCTTATTCAACCATTTAACTCAAATAAATCAATTCAAACAACTATACATTAAATCTACATACTAATTGTTGGATTATAAACCTGATTGTTGACCAATCTATTGAATAAATCAAGTGTGAAGTTTAATTAACTAATAAAAAGTTAATCCAAAGAAAATTTTAGAGAAATATTGTAGGGGGTGTATGAATAGAAGGGTGGCATAAAATGCAACTAATTGAACAAATTGTGTAAAATCCTCTTTTGATTTAGGGAGAACTAAGATAGGGGAGAAGTTGTCATTTATAAACCAAAATATTCTCTTAAATAGAGACTATCTTTCAAATATTCTCAAGCAACTTCTTCCAAAAATCTCACCACCATAACCTTATCTTGGCAGTCCCTTTCATGGAGTATGGTGACAATTGATATTGATACTCCACTCTCAAGCAACCATAAATATATATTTGGAATATGACAGCTACAAAGAAAGAACCATAAACATTTTGTGCATTGTCTCATTCTCATAATTCCTTTTACGGAAGAAACTAACTTCAAAAGAGACATTTGCTTGTTGCTCTTTAACACAAGAATCTTATGAAGCTTTAAGTTCAACTAACCAATCAAGTAAGACTGGATATAAAGAGATAGAGACAACACTCACTTTATTTAACATCATTTGCTGAGAGAACTTTATATTGAGGAGAATGAAGAGAGCATCATAAAGACTAAAAATAACTAGAGGAATTAATATATAAACAGTGGGAATTTATTAGTATTATTTGCAAAATCTATACATGAGTAACTTTTATTTTGAACACTACACATGAATGACCAAAGTTACATAATTTTTATGCAATGAATTATATCCTAACCAAACTTCCAAGCTAACTATTCTAATCATATAGATCTAAAGAATTCAGTGTTGTGAAAGAATTCCAAGAAGACTCATCCTAACATCAATTAAACATTTATACAAATCTTTTACTCTTTCATCTATAACTTCAACCGCAGCCTCCAATTCCTTGCACCTTTGCTTCAATTTCTCAACACAACATTTCATCTCCTTTTTCTTCTTCACATGTTCCTTCAACTCTCTAGCTGCATCAACTGTCTGCTGCAACTCACTCTTTTTCTGCAACTTCTTCTCATCAACACTTGCTTCTGCTTCTTTTGTCAACTCTTGCAACAATCTCAACCATGTAGAACTTGAAGGTGGAGAAAGTTTCATCATTGGCAACTTTTCACTTTTTGCATCAAATGACAAACCAAGTTCAAGAAACCTTAAACACATCAATGCCATAGCCTTAGAACCACACATAACCTCACTCATTTCTGTTTCATCATGACATAGCTTTTGCCTTAACAATTTTTTCAATCCATTGCTTGATCTCTTTTCTACAATTTTAGATGATGATGAATTCAAAAGTTCCGTCGCACGTCTTGTTGCAACATTATTAGGCTTCAATGGACTACAAGTATTATCAACTAAATGTACAACAACTTTCAAATTGTCTAAATAATTATAAATGTTGTCAATTTTTTCAACAAAGTAATTGCATACATCAAGAAACTCAACGTTGTCTTCTAGGTACTTATCGACATCTCCTCGATCAAAATCATCTCTATAAGAAACGTTCGTTAGAGAATCCAGTACAATTTTTTGAGTGGTGACGGCAGCATCAAGCAATTGAGCCAACTTAATTTCTCCACCAAGGGTGTCAAGTTCGGCCGTAAGTTCTCGGTCGAATCTGGTTTTTTCCGGCAAAGGTGCTACCGCGGACGGAGCTGGGCGTAAGAGGAAGCTCTTTAGGATGGTTGGTGCTTTCATGTTGTGCTAGTTTATTGATAATGTTTTGGTAATGCACAAGACAAGGTTGAAGACACAAAAGAGAAGAATGACCAATTGATAATGTGGTGGTGCAATGGATGGATGCATATATATATATAGAGAGAGAGAGAGAGATGAATAAGCATATTAAGAAAAGACATGTGTCAATATTACGTTGAAGACAAAAAACAACAGAACAACAGAAAAGTGAATAGGATCAATAAAGTTGATTCTATAGCTGCAATTGAGGTGTGCAAAAAGGGACAATGGAGGACCTAATTAATAGAATTTGATGGTTTAGTCGTTGAAAAGGATTCAGAAAGGACCCACCCCACATTTCTTTTGTTTTTTTTTGCGGTGAAACAATTAAGCAATGTATTGGTGAGATAATAATTTGCTGAAAATGAGCTGTAATGAGAGTGTGTGGTGCGGCAGGACACTACCACGTACGAAAGGAACGTTATGGGTCTTGCTTCCAATTATTGGCACACTCTTTTTCATTATATGTTATATTTTAATAATATAAAGTTAGTGAAAAATCTAAATAAATTTAACTAGTTTATAAAGGAATAAAATTTCTGATATGGTCCGACCAAAATGTTTTTATGATAAATGAGAAATTAAATAAAAGATCTATTTTTATAGTATGGTTTCAGCTTGAACAATTCTCTCTTGACTCGATGATGCGTCATGGGTGGTACATGTAAAACAACTTTAACTCTAAAATCAGTGAGAGATCAAGACAACAAATGAAATATTTTAGGTGTTTTAGGAATGTGTATCTTGTTGTTTTGTCTTTTGATTTTTTTATCGGACTTTTCCTAGGATTTATGTAGATTCTCCTCGTTTAGCTTTAATCATGCCCATTTATATAGTTAAATACGAGAATTTGATTCATTATGTGATCCAACGATTATGACTTCATATTATGTTGAAATTATGTCTTTTTAAGGCTTGTCTATGCATGTTCCCAAATCCTAGAATATCCTGCTTAATGGGAGTGGTATGACGACATTGTTCTAACATAATCCTTATCAATATCTTTACCTCTTGAGCCTATATGGTTTTTCTCTTGTGGGGCGGATTTCACCATTGCCTCGGTCAATGTAGGAACCGTTTCTCCCCAAGCCCGGCCTGCTGGAGTCAGGTATGGGCTTATAACTTCTTGTAGTTAGCGTTATGAAAAAATTACGATGAAGTTTCCTCCCATCTCCCATATATTTATCTATTTTAGTTTTTATGTATCATTTAGCCCTAATATAAATGGTTGTTAAGACTCATCGATATCTATCTCTTCAACTATCTATTATATGTCAGTCTAGGGTTAATAGCATGATGGTTTATCCATAGCTCTCTCATGATGTCCTTCTTAGAAACTATCTTCGCTATCATGACCCTAATAATTCATTTGGTCACATGCCTCATATGTTGGTTACTGTTTAGTTTTTCACAACTTTGTACTTCCTTCGTCTTTCTCTTCCTATGATTATAAATACTTCAAAAGGGCTAAGTGTTATGCTCATTCCCCTTTATCGTCTTTCATCTATTTCTTGTGATCACTTCAAGTCCCTCTTGTCATCTTTCATAACCACATTCGTAATATTCTCAACTTTCATCTTCTTCTACTGATAAATTCCTTCATTTTCTTATTTTCTATATAACATTGCCTTTATCCTTCATAGTATGGTGGTAGTTTTCTGGGAGCGCTAGTGAGTGTGTGAGGTTGTTCCCTTGCATCTAATGATCTTCTTTGTTATCTACATGTAATATTTAATACTATCAGATACCCAGTCAACCCTGTTCTAAATGTGGAGGCGCACACCTCTTTTCCATGGCTAAATGATATGTACTTAGAAATTCCTTCAATATACTGTGATTCGACAAAAAACAAAAAACTATGATGTTATTACAAAAGTTGGGGGTCCTTTTAGTGCCTGAAAGATGACTATCCCTCTTTCATTCATAGAATATGTCTAAATTTCCCTCATCCAACTTTTCCCATGTTTGATATGGTTTTTTGGGAAATAGTTTTGTTTTACCCTTCACCCTTTTTGAGCGAAAAGTTTTTCGATATTTGGTCTTGGCGCCTTCACAGTTGTATCCTAATTGATGGGTGTTTCTGTGAGTTTTCCAATATGTATGTAGGTATCTAGACTGAAAGGTTTTTGTTACGATCTTTTTACATATTTTCCCAGTTGATTAAAAAGGTTCTTCTTCCCCCTTTGGCTTGGTTTATTTCAAATAATCTTTCAAATTATTTTATGTGTTTACTGAATCTTTACAAAATTTCAAATTCTACTATATGGTGATCGAGCCAGGTATAGTTCAAGCCTATTCCAATGTATATGGTTGTGGAGATGGATCTTCAAATGTTGTGTGTGATCCTGAGTTTCCAAGGTGTTGAAGCTAGAATATTTTTGTTGTGTTTAATCATGATTTTCCAAGTATCAAAACATGATTTCGTTCTCTTCATTACTTAAGGTTTAAAGGTATACTTCTATAATTCTTCAGCCTCACTTTAAATAACGGTGATGCCAATTTACCCACCAATCACCTTGCTGCTCGCTACTATGTTCCCACTTGAACCTTGATCAAGTTCAAGCCACACTTGAATCTAACTTGCATCCACTTGCTTCCCACCACCATATACTGCTTTAGTAGTCTAACAAGACCGCAAGTATACTTCTTCAACCATATTTGACTCCTTTTACTTTAGAATGCCTCCTTAAAGCTTCACGTTTTTGAGTTTTTCAACCCTTCAACCACATTCAAAGAATAAATACCAAGGCCAACATAATCATATCTTTAAGATGGTACAATCTCCCTCCTTATATTATCACGAGTCAAATGATAATTAGAGGCCTCTGTAATCATTTTCTTATTATTACTAGTATCCATAACAAAAACCTTCACCTCAAATCGAATCTTTTCCACTGTAGTTTCTGATATCTCTAGGTATTTAATCTTCCCCCCTTTCGGGACTCATTGAAAGAAATACATCTATAAATGGTAAAATTTGATCCTCTATACTACACTTCCTACAACTCATAATCCTTCCCAAATCTTGGGTAACAATTGAAGACACAATTCATAACCTCACCATCAAGCTAAATTAGATTAGTTTGATCAATTTGAAAAGTTTTAATGAACTTCAAAAACTGAGTAGTCTCCAGGTTTCATACTCTAAACCTCCGCAATTAAATAAGAAGTTTATTCATGTGAATGGACATTTGTTGATAATGTAAGCTACTTTGGAACCATCCTTACTCTATAAACTTCATTTCCACTCTGCGGTCAAATGTGTTTATATCCCTTGATTACTGGAAAACTCATTAAGGTGATTTGAAACAACCTATAGGCGTCTAACATGATGATGAATGATGAATGAACAAAAATATTGGAACCTTCTAAAATATATAAACCATATATTTTAGCCCTTTTAGTCACAATCACTCCATCATGTGAAATCTTAAACGACCCATGTTAAACTCTAGTGTTATAGCTTTAATAATCAAACATGCTTATTCCTAAAAAATTTCACTTGAGTTCTGGAACATACCTCACATTATGTAGAACAACCTCGCGGTCATAAAAAAATGGAAAAAATATACCCAGAGTCCTTTAAGTTACTTAATTGTAACAAGTTGGTCCTTTATGTTTTTTTTTGCTACATGTAGAAACTTTATGTTAACTAACATCTGCAACGTTGCCCTTTTTCACAAACTCTGTTCCAAAAAAGCTGATGTGTCACAAACAGCGTTGATGTGTCATTTAACAGTGTTGAATGGGTTATTGTATTATTATAGAATAGTTAAAATTTTTCAATCCCAAATAGATTATGCAACCCTAATTCCTAATTAACCTTCAGATATAACAAGCAACATTAAGGGAGAAGGCTAAGGAGAAGTAGTGAACATTGAGGGAGGAGGCTACGTAGTTGGAGACGACGACGTCATTGAAGGTGACAAAATCGTCCAGTTGAGGTATGTTTCGCTATGTCAAAAACAATTGTGGGTCTGTTGATGATAGTAACAATGGTAGTGTTCATCTTAGGGTTTTCTGCATATTTTCTTGTTGGTGTTAATAGGTCAAAATGGCTATGGATTCATTTTACGTTGATTTCCATCATGGGGGATATTTCCTTGGTGACAAATATGAAGAAGGGGAAGTGTCAAAATGGAAGTGTGATGGTGATATATGGAGTTACTTTGAGATTTTGGGGGTTGTTAAAAAGATGAAGTATTCAAGGGTTCTTGAAATGTGGTACGACATTGCTAGAATATTAAAGGCGTTGGAGGATGATTATGGTGTAATAGAAACACTGAACTGGTCCAAGACTAATGGAAAGGTAAACATATACATTGTCCACCCTATTTCTCAACCTGATATAGTAGTTGCCCTACCTGAGGTTGAAACTGAGACCCAAGCTAATGTAGTTATAAATGAACTAACTGAGGCACAACCTGATATAGTTACAAGTGAACCAACTGAGGCCTAAGATTATGTAGTTACAAATGAACCAACTAAGGCCCAACCTGATATAGTTACAAATGAACCATCTGAGGCCCAACCTGATCTAGTTACAAATGAACCATCTGAGGCCCAACCTGATGTAGTTACAAATGAACCAACTGAGGCCCAGCCTAATGTAGTTACAAATGAACTAATGGAGGCCCAGGCTAATGAAGTTACAAATGAACCAAATGAGCCCGAACCTGATAGTGATGACAGGTCATTAGGACACATGTTCAATGACTCAAATGATGAGATTTTATATGATGGATTTGATGAAGTATTGGTAGGAGAAGGAGGTTTCATTGTTGGCCAAAATGATCGACATGTTAATGAAATACTAGCAGATGAAACACCTCAAAATAAAAAGAAGAAGGGTGGAAGATGAAAGAAAAAAGGGGATCACAAAATAAGGCATTGGGGAGTTCCAACAAACAGAAGGGGATACCTATGAAAAAAAGGATGAATGGAGGAAGTTAAGTTGCATT